CACATCATCTGGGCAGGACTGAACATTTCAGCCAGCTATATCAACAGTCCCGAGGTGTCTTTTTGATGTGTGCAACACTGGCTCTGCAGGAATGTACAGGACATCAGGATTAATTAGTTCAACACCTGTTCCAGTAGTATTTCCCATTGTGTCACAAAGGGACTCCCTTCACAGATTTTTACAATTCACAAGCTAGACAAAGAAACTGAAAGTGATTTATTAAGAGAACTTCAACACAAATTAAAATAATTAGGTGTTTTAAATATATAACTGTTAAATTAAGCCATAACTGTGCAAATATTGGCACTTATGTTCTCTATTGTTTTTAAAAGTGTAAATGCTAAATCAGAGTGATTGTTTTCATAATAAAACCACATTTGTGAGGCACCTCAGACATAAGTTGACAGATCAATAAGAAGACCTGTGCTATTATCTGTTCATTATGAATGTGTGAAAGTTTAGGTTTATAGGATTATAGGTTTAATCAAAAAAATTAAATGTTAAAGTTTAGAACTGTCCACATGTAATATGAATAACTTGTTGTAGCCACTGAGGTGTGAGAGAGGGTTTTGTTCTCCAGTCTGGATTAGATGTTTAAATTTAAATATATTCTCATTAATTTGTACCTTTATGAGTCTTCCTATAGTCTAATTTTCCACATTCCTAAGGATGTGGGCAAGAGTAAAAGTGTAATACTGTAGTAGTATCAGTAGACTACATCTACGCTGCTATGGCACACTCAGGGAAAATCTCCACTGAAGTTTACTTAAAACCCTCTATCTCTTGTAAGATAATCTCTGAAGATGTCTAAAAAGAAAACATGTACAGTTTAGTCTGGAGAGTATTATTGAATCAGATATTCAGGGTATTTTCATATTGAAATGGTGATGGTAAAAATGCTACATTGGCCTTTTTAACTGCAAATCTTAACCAAGCAAACTCACTCACTTACTTACTTAAACCAACTATCAATGTTTGTCATTTTTACTGGCTTTCTTTTTTCTTCAGTGCAGTGATGTCTCAAACTTTTTCTCCAACTCCATCCAATCCATAAGTGGATTTATTTTTATCAATCATTAACTGACTAAAAGATTCAGGTAAGCAAAATAGCCTTGCTTGCATCAGAGTGGAACAGTAGGCCTTTCACATTTCTCAGTTTGTACCTCCTCTCCTCCTCGAGGGGCCTTTTAGGAAATGAGATGTCCTTTAAGATGGCCGTGCTTAGATCAATATCCGGGTCACAGGCAGAGGATTGAGGATCAAGGAGGCGAGGACGCACAAAATAGGTGAAATGAGAAAGGCCCCATGCCAGTCTAAGGGAGCCCGCCCCCCAGTTTGAGAACCACTGCTTCAGTTAGACATTGCCCATAAAGAGAATCATTTTCATGGTGTAGGTCATTCTACAATACAGACTCACCAAAAGCTCCAAATACAGGTGTATTTATACTATAATCAACTTATAACCCTTGACTAGATACAGGTGATCTACGTTTAACTTTATTTATGTGATTTTTAAAACCAACTGGCTGCACCAGATTTAGATATGTTCTGTTGTCCTTTAACATGAAAGGGTACTTTTCTGTGTAAAGAAGCCACATTAAATCCCCTTTGATTCAATGTTATGAAACCATAAAATGTAAGAACTTTATATGAATATGTTTTATAGGAGTAATCTATTAGTAATCTATTTCAGTCCTTTTTAAGTCCCTCCTTCTTTTTGTGTAAGAACAGTGGCATCCGAAGGTGAAAGTTCAAGTACCACGAGGGGGGGCTCCTATTATGAGCCCTCAGACCTGATGGCTATCATCCAGCTTCCTACTTCGAGAGTCACCAGCTTTAATCTCTGCAAGGCCCATACATCACTTCACGCCCTGCATTTTATCAAGGCTATCAGTATCATCTGGAGTAATTGCAACAAACCTCTTAATTACAGTTGAGTCTGGGTTGGGTTGGCCAGGGCTAATAAACTGCCTGTTTCTTCTTCTTTCTCTTCACATTACTGTCAAACCTTTAAACCATTTCTATTCAACCACACTGTTTGCCCCATTTTACCTTTTGGAAATCTCTCAAAGCAGATTTGATCTTCTATCTAGGACATTTTTCTGTCCTAGATAGAAGAACAACTGTTGTATTTGTGTTTGCAGCATGACAGAGGGCTCCAGCATGTCATGTCAGGCTTGGCAATATCAGAAACAGATACATTACTCTGTAGCTCATCTATGCAGGGGAATTCCCCCATAGGGAGGTCAGAGGTCAGGGCCGACTCCAGATCAGCACTGTTTGTTGCTGCTATAAATTTACCATCTTTGATATTTTAGCTGGGTAGATGCTCACTGTTGTGGTGGTGCACATTAGGACACCAAGACTAAAGCACTCAATGTAGAGATGATGGAGAAAGAAAGACTAAGAGTAAGAGATGGAGACAGTGATCATAAACAGACAAAATACAGCTTGAGTGAGGCAGGGAAGAGCACATGAGTCTGACATTTTCCCAGGACCACCAGAGGTCAAAAGGAAGAGGTCGAATCCCCAGAGTATAAAGCTCTCCTTGGTTGACTCCTCCTTGCTCTTTGCTTGACATCGCACTTCCTTTCCTCTGTTAACACCATCCTCATTTACAACTAAACACGTAAACACTGCTGAGGCTGGGCTCGTGGGTCAGGAGACACTAAAACAACCCCTCGATTTGTTTGTTTAAGACAGTAGATAGTAGAATCCAGTAGCAACCTGTGCACACCAATCTCTCACAATCACTGCAAAAAATAAACTAAAATTACAATGTATTGTGGATTAATGTCATTGAGTGCATTATTTTATGTGAGCTGATGTCTGGTATGGAGCTGGGGATATTTTTAGAGAGGACATTGGGAACGGGAATGAAGCTGTAAACCACAAGGCTCTGGTGAATTGTCATATGGTGTTGGACGTGGTCCCATAAGACCATTAGGGGCCCACTCCTTTAACCCTGCAACCCCTCTGCAGGCCTCAAACCCTCCCTTTGTCTGCACAGATGCAAGACATGAACAATGAACCATCCCTGGACTCAACTGTTCCATTATCTCTGGTTTCAGATACAGCGTGGACAGGTGCAAAGGAATCTGTAATGTGTGGGGCCAGTCACAGTGGAAATACTTCCTACCGTGTTCCAGTTGCAAAGATCTGCATCACCCCTCTACATATGAAGGGAGGGGGGGGGCAACCTGTGTGGACGGATGTCATGAAAAGATGGTAAAATCATTTACACCAAATTTGGTAAAAGATACTAAGGCCAAAGCTTAAAATATGAGAGTTCCAGTAAACTATGTTGGTGTGAATGTAAGATGGAAATGACGTCTACATGACCTTTTTGAGCCAGCATGCACAGTACCAGGACCCTGAAACTGAAGCATTAATTTCATTTTTTACACCTGTATTTTTCCTACTGCGACATATCAAAAATGTGATGACCTCCACCCCATGCTTTCTGCACTGTTTTTTCTGGGCTTCACATGAAGGCACCACAATCAGCAACATGGGGAACACCTATAATTTGTGGCTGAAGCAGGGGCGAGTTCAATCTCAAAATGTTTTGCACCGAAACAACATGTTTCCTTGCAACGTTCTGCAACGTTCTGCAACAGGCTTGATACGGGTTTTCTCCCGTTTGGTGGGCGTGTCTCAGGTATTACCCAATCAGTGGCAACAAGTTTGTAAACACAACAGTTTTAAGAAGGCAGGAAAATGCAGTGCGCTTGCGTACACAACAGGGTGTTCAGAGAACCACCGTTTCTGTTGAAAAAAACGTTTTGCTTGCTTCTGTATGTCTGCAATAGTTTCCCAAAAATATATTTTGACTTCTCTGCATGCTCCCTTGCTATCTAGTCTCTCGACACAGGGTGTTCGGGTTTACTACTCACTCAGATTGGTCAGATTGGTTGGAGGCATATCCTGTGCAGTTGTTTATTGTAACAATAAATACTGGTGCATCTCAGAGAATTAAAACTTCTAGAAAAAGTTATTTTTTTGAAATATTTCAGGCCCCTTTTTTGTTTTAATCTTAATGATTTCAGTTTACAGTGTTGGAAATCAAAAATCCATCTCTCAAAATATTAGAATGAGTGACAAACCATTTAATAAATGTCGACTTGAGAAGAGCCTTTAACCTCCCAGTCTGGTTCAGAACACACAACCACAATCACGGAGAAGACTTCTGACGTGACAGTTGTCCAGAAGACACTTACTGACACCCTCCACAAGGAGGGTAAGACAGAAGGTCACTGCTAAAAGGTCTGGCTGTTCGCAGAGTGCTGTATCAAAGCATATTCATGGAAAGTTGACTGGAAGTTTAAAGTTTGGCAGGAAAAGGTGCACAAGACAAAATGACTGCAGCCTTAAGAGGATTTACCTTCAAATGTAATAATCTAGAATATATGTCAGTTCCACTTTTTGAATTTAATTAAATTTTCCGAGATATACCTGTATACTCAAGATCAGCCTCAGACCAATTAGTTTCTTCTGTTGAATTTTTTTAACCATATTATAATTCCCATCTTTCTTAAATTAGCTGAGCTAGTCCACCATCTTCCCATGTGCCCCTGCAGTTCACAGTCCCCCAAATGGGAATCACTGCCCTACACTACTGATACAACAGATTTGACCTTTTAATACTATTAATTTATTGACAGAAAATTAATCAGAAACTACTTTGGGAATTAATTAATCATTCAAGTAATTTTGTAAGGTAGTTCCAGCTTCTCAAATGTTAATATTTAATTGGTTTCTTAATCTGATAGTACACTGACTATCTGAACTGTTGGAAGGACAAAACAAGACATTTTAAGGCACACTTTGGTATCTTAGAACTTTCTGGGCAGACTAAATGATTAAAGTGATTTGTAGTGTGTTACTTGCAGCACTAATAAATGTACTTTAGTATCTGATATATATCCATATGTTTCCTGTGTTCGCTGCAGCAAGAGTCTGGCTGTGACAACATTTACAAGGATCATATGATCATAAGAGACAGTTTCATTGATTGTTGTTTTATTATGAACAGAAGACTTGCCCGTTATGTGGCAACTGTAGCATTTAAAAAAAAAACACACAGTAGATTCATGTCTTCAAATCACATTGTCCCACGCTGTCATACAAATTTCAGGTAGCAACAGATGATGGTCATGTGAGCTATTTACAGTTCCACTCCAATCCTTATATTAGGAATACCATTGGCGTTTCAGGAAAACCTTAGAGTGTATACTGACTACAGTCTGATCTCTAGAAACCATTTACATCCTTATCAAAAACTGACATTCAGACCATTTTCACTAATGATATATGTGTATGTAGTAAGGAACATCATGATGTCAGTAATTAGGTATTACATAACTCCAGTCACAAAACAACACAGAAATAAAATTTCTTCAAACAATACAAATGACTTTGAGAGAGAAAAAAAAAAACTTTTCAAAAAAGCAAATGAAGGCCTAGGACAGATTAATTAAATGGTGTCAAAATAATGCCCTGTAAACTTTAAACACAGATCAATAAACACTTCAGCCTCGACTGAAAAAAAATGAGGAAAAACAAAAGGCAAAATTAAATTGTAAAGCCTTATTAGTTTATGCTCCTTTCATACATCAGAAATCCATTCTTTATTACAATGACAAAGGAAAGGGGAAACCTTTTATGGATTATGTGTCAGTGGTGGTTGGAATAATAGAACAATAATAGAACAAATAAATGGAATAAAGCTGTGTTTGATCAGGCCTGACTGGAAAATTATAGATCACTTTCCTTAAATACAGAAAACCCTTTTTTAGTTTTTACATTGCTCTGTGAGAAAAGGTCATCTGTTACAGACGTTTATTCAAATGCTAAAAGGCTTGCACAACAGAACAACAAAAGGTGGCGGTGCAGCTTGGAATAATACACCGTTACACACGCAGCGTTCATACATACGGCATGTGTGCAGTCATTTGTATACTCATGCAATAAAGCGCAGTGTCCGCTTTATTTCTTCACAGCTTGGCCCGCTGACAGCACAACATTTTAAGACATGAGCGGTGGTAAACATTTCAGCATCAGGGAGGGCACTGACGGGTTATCATGGCTACGAGACCTGAGACTTAACGTGGAGATACAGGACTATTTAAACATCTTAGTGCCAAAACAGAGACTGTGGCTGTGTCCCGAATCTGTACTACAGATTAAAAAAAAGCTAGAGTCAAAACAGTCAGTGTGCATACAAAAAAAAAAAGATTTTTGACTGTACTGTATCACAGATGGACACTATATCCCAAAATGCACTGCACGGAGGACATAGAGGAGCTGCTGCTCACAGCTGGAAAAACAAAACAACAACAAAGTGTGGATAGTGGTGGAACAGTTCAGTTACATTTTTTTGTAGTAGCATTTTAATGTTGTAGTTTGATTCAACAGTGCAAGTGTCATTTCCTTTTCTATATGCTGATTTTGTCTATACTCACCACAAAACAGTATTCTATTAAGATTAGCATATAGTACACATATATGCAGTTAATGTAGTATGGAATTGGGACACAGCCCATGTTTTAGTATTTGTTTTCCTTTGTCAAAAAAGATGCACAGATCTGAAACCAAATGTTATAATTTAAGTCTGGTGATATTCGATATATTTTTTTTTGTGTCAATAAATCCCATAAATCTCAATAAATCCAAAACCAAGTACAAGACAAGTTTTGTTTGTGTAGTCAAAGCCCATCTCCACCCATTTTCACTGTTCGAGTAGCATTTTTGTTAAAAACTACAGAGCTTAGTTGTTTCTTTAAAAAAATAAAATAAAATAAAAAAAATTTAACTTCAGTGGAAATGAATGGGCTTGGGGGTCACAGTCAGGGTAAGGAAGCAGTAAAAGTATTAAGAGATAGACTACTGTATTGTTACTAGAAAAATGTAGAATATCACCAGACTTCTCCCTTACACAACCTAGTAAAAACACATCATACAACATCCTGTCAGTGATGTTAAAACTTTAGTAAGTATTAATGCTGATAGGCTGTTCCATGTGGCCGGACGATCCACTTCCGTTGGTCCCTCACACATACACGTCCATAGTGTTGAGGATCATGTGCCGACAGAGTGGGCAGTTCTGCTGGTAGATGGGCTGCCTCAACAGGATGTTTGTACAGTCTCTACACAAGCAGAGGTGCCTGCAGGGCAGCAGCACCACCGTCTTGGTACAGTCCTGACAGATCACACACTTCTTCCTGTCCTCCTGCTCCTTCAGCAGAGTCAGCAGATTCTCAGCAGGTAGAAGATTACTGTCTTTGCCCGAAAAGGACTGCTTCTTTAGCGGCCTGTCTGTGCTTGATGAGGGGAAAACTAAATCCCGCGTCTCCCGGTGGGCTCCATCTCCTGCTCTGCCATCTGGTGGGTCCCGCCTCTCCTCGCCAGGGTCGCCATCGCCACGCACTCTGCTGTTGTTGTCCCCATGGAGCTGTGTCCTCAGAGCCAGACCTAGCTGGCTGCTGAGTCGAGACAGCTGCCGCCAAAGTCTTCTCTCTAGCAGGCAGAGGTGGCGGAGTATCCTGGGCAGGCGCTGCACGGCGCGACGTACAAAGGGTGGGGCGCTCTGCAAGGCTGAAACAAGGCGGTAGAGAGCCAGGTGAAGTCTGCGCAGGGCAGGAATAGAGTTGATATAATCCAGAACTCGAACAGCAGCCTGTCGGGTCAGCTCTGGGTTCAGGTAGGCGGTGGTAGTCAGAGCAATAGTGACAGTGAGCAAGAAGCCATAGATGTTCAATATGAAGATGCTGACAAACATGTGAACCAGCGAGACCAGAAAGTCCAACACAAGTTTACAGGGCGTCCACAGGAAAGCAGAAGTCCCAACCAGGCTGCTGTACAGAAAGGTGAAGGAGGTCAGCGTGAGCTCCAGCACTTTCTGCAGCGGGCTGGAGACCGTCTGCCACACATTGACCGCCGCCAAGTAAATGTTCTGGGTAGCAATGAGTGCATAGTTGACCACTGTGTTAGTGAAATAGACCACCAGGCTGACAGCGATGCCACAGCCCTCCAGCACCCACAGCATCCCTCGACACAGGTGCTCCTTCCCGCGAAGCAGGACGTGCGTGGACAGGTAACCCACCATCTTCAGGCTCTCCAGAAGCCCCTCCAGGCCCAGCACCAAGCTCCCCAGCATGTTTACGCTACCGTGGGCTACGTCTGACGTCGCCTCTGCCATGGTCATCAAGCAACACACGGCGAAGTTTCCCAGCTCCACCACAGAGGTGAGGAGCAGAGTCGGCAGGCTGTTTATGAAGGAGATCACCGCCAGGGTGGTCCGCACCACGGTGTGGACGATGAGAAAGTTCAGGTCCAGCAGCAAGCAGACGGTGTCCAGGCATTTCCCAACAGTGGAGATTAAAAAGTTCACCAAACCCATGGTAATGTATCGATGTTTACCTCTCGGTGCTCTCAGGTCGTCCCAACGGCAAAGTCCATGTCTCGTTTGTTCGTCCTGGCTGAGATTTTCAGACGTGAGCTGTATCTTGCAATATTAGCTACATCTTGTTCACACCGCTCCTCGTTACGTTAAAAGAACGATGCAGTAACTTTCTTCATGTTTTCTTCACAGTTGTTCGGCTGAAACGACGAGCTAACATAGTAAACACACGCGTTACACAGGCGGATGTTTAGGTTCAAACGAGATGCAAACACTTCCGTTTATTCCACCGGTTTCGTTTTGGCTCTCCGTTCAGAACAGCGTCCACACATATTGCATTATTTAATCGGCCACTTAAAAAAATACATGAACCGACAGACTAACTCTAAAGAGACCGAGAAAAACCCTGAAAACGATCCGATACGATGTGTTTACTATCGTTACTGTGGCCGCCATATTTGTTTTGGTCGTGTCAGCTGACCACTTCCACTTCCTTCCGGCGAGTTTCAGCAACGTCACAGAGCCGTTAAGAAATCATGTTTCACATAAAATATATTTAAATAAAATATAGAATATACAAATATAGAATACGATTATATAAATCAAATGAAATACTATATAATTTAAATAAACAAAACAGTTATTTATAATGCAGACATTTTATGAGAAGCTTCTGAGATTAAAAACGATCTATAATTTTGGTGAAAAATAAGCATGTATGTATTATTTTAATAACTTTAAATAACTTTTATCCACTAATCTAAATATACAAATTCAAATCCTTAATTTTATTAATATTACTCATTAATGAAATCAGACAGTAGGCTACATTGACACACTCTCCTCTTTGGGTCAGTGAGAGGGATATTTAAAGAACTGAAATGGGCTTTTTAAACAAATGTTTCTTTTTTAATTTTTATAGCACAAAAAATACCCCATGAAATAGGCTGACCCCCCCCTGCCAGAATTGATTATAAAATAAGGAAACAAGGAAAAAGCTTTCCTTTATTCATATAAACTCTCTGTGATTGTGTGTGTGTCTGAGAGAGAATTGAAAATGATTGAAGCTTCAGCCTTCGTAACCTTTATGCTCACCCATTACCTCAGCCACTGTAGTGACAATGAAACACAAAAGCTTTGCAAACAATATCAACAGTATTTCCTTCCTTGCCTTGTGCCTCATCCTCCCCATCTGAACAGTGAACCTTTTTTTTTTCTTACAAGGGGAAACTCTGTCTGATACGATCATGGGAAATCCCGTTCACACACTTGACAAACAGCATTTGTTTAAGCTTTTAATGATGCAACAGGGATATGTAGTAGTGCAAGAAGCTATTACAGGTACTGTGCATTACTTTGATTCTAGCGGAGAGATTCTAGACCCGCTCCTTTTATGGTAGCTAACCTTCCCTCTGGTTAGCTTCCTTTGTTTGTTTTCAGCTCAACCGAATCCTTCCTCTCTAAATGACCAGAGGTTAAAAAAGGCTTGTTTTGAAACCTCCTGCAGCCTGTCTTTAAGTGTCCTTAATACTGCACACGTATGTGTCTACTAAGACCTCCTGTACACAGAAATACTGAGGCATCCAAATTACTTGAAGGCTATTTAGTAGAACCAAGCTAAGAGTTTCCTTTTCATTTTTTTGCTGTGTGCACCTTCCAGATTTATCAACAGACATGATGTTGCTTGCTTCACGTGCACTCAACACAAGAACCTGAGAGCCCCATTACAGCGGAGACAAAGACAGGATCAGCCAATCATGCAATCCATCTTAAACTCAGCCCTGGAAGCTGTCTCTTCAGTTTAGGTAAAATAAGCAATCAATCTCAAAAATAAAGGGCAGCAAAATGGGAAACAAGACAAGCTTGCACAGGATGAAACAGAGACAACAGGACAAACCAACCCCTTGACGTGCTTCCTACAAGGAGCTGAGGGCCCCACGGATGATTGATTTGCAGCAATTGGGGTTCCCACCTACTGTGGCCTTTCCGCCCTTTAAAGAAATTTGAGCATCTGACCCGCCCTTCCACCTCTTTGTCAGTTCTTCCACACCTCAAAAACATTTCTATTCAGCTTTGCGTCAGCCCTATGGGGAGCTATATCTCTAATATAGAGGTTTAAAAAGACTGACTTTCGATAAAATAACCACCAGACATGAACTCTGATATTCTGCATGCAGGAAACCAAGGGAAACCCCAGGAAGTTACTGGTCCCAGCCAAGTGGGTAAGCCAGAGTGAACAGTGAAGCCTACCAAAGCCCGATGGAAGGTACCATGTATGCCCAAAAATGACATCAAAACCCTGTGACACCCCGTCGCACACGAGAGATGTAACCGTATTGCTTAGATTATAAACTCTCGGCAATCTAGAACAACTATTCGGCCATCAGTGACGCTGCGTTGGTGTTTGGCAGGTGAGCCTTGTAGGTGGGCTGATTAAACAGTGACGATCCGAGTCAGACAAACATACTGAGCCAGGAAACTATCAGAATTACGGTGTTTCTGCCATTGCTCTACGTCATAAAACCACGGTTATGCTGCAAGATCATGCGCAGTAGGCTCTGTTGTCAACAGGAAGTAACCGTGTAGTAGTTTTTTATTGGTCCAAAACTGGCTTCAGTGCTCTCCATTCAAATCTGCGGGGTGGCTTCACCCAGTATATAACTGTGTAACCCCCCTGTAACATAAAAATAGTCATTTTCACAGTGTGTTTGTTGTACAGAATAAACAAAGAAGACATAATGTGTTCATTAGTGAGCTTTAGAGGTGCTGGTATAGACAGATTTTGTTACCGGACAGATCCAGGCTAGCTGTTTTCCCCCTGTTTCAAGTCACTGTGCTAAGCTAAGCTAACTGGCTGCCGGCTGTAGCTTCACGTATGCACCTCAGATATGAGAGTGGTATTGATCTTCTCATCCAACTCTTGGGAAGAAAGCAAATAAGAACATTTACCAAAATGTCAAATGAAAGACTTTTCCACAATGCTAGGGTAGAACTAGGCATATTAAATCTTTGGTGTGACGATTATGGACTGAACAAACCCAAACGCAACGCTTCAGGTTTCTAAAGAGGTTTATTGAGGGGAAAAAGGGGATGTAGAGGGACTGGAGAAAGGGGGGGAAGATGGACACCGGTAGACGTGGGCGCGGGGGACCGAGGAGCTGGCAGGAGAGGTTCAGGCGAGAGGGCCGAGGGGGGCAGGCAGACAGGGTTAGTTCAGGGTGACAGGAGACGAAGAAGTTAGACGTGAACAAGTTCATAAAAAAGCTTGAATGTAGCTGTGGCACCAAGCCTGGAGCGACGACGATCAAGCAGGGATGGAGTGGAGAGCCGGGGTAGAAATACTGTTCGAGATGAGGCTGATAGCTGGCAGGTGTGGCGGTCGGAGATGGAGGTTGATGAGACGCAGGTGTAGGTAGTCAGCAGGGCTCCGGGGAGAGCACACACAGAGGGAGAGAGGAGGAGACACAGGAGAAACCAGGATGCGAAGAAGGAGGAAAAGAAAAACAGGGCACTCACCATCAGCCGGGCTGCCACCACAACACTTTGGCCTATATCTTCATTTAATTAATAGCACATTTAAAGCAATTTTGTCTAAAGATGAACATAACCAGTCTTCAGAACCCACCATGTGTAATTTGAGTGTAATTGTAGAACATAAACCTCTCCACAGGTCGTCAAAATGCCCAAATTACCTTAAACAATGCATAGGACCTCTGCATTAACATCCAACACAGAGAAAGTTTGTTGGCTATCCATAGTAATCTTACTATTTTTGCACACACACCAGTCTCTTCACAATCATGAAAATCTGGCATTGTGGCCGTGACTTTAAGTTTTGTGCTGTGTTCCCAGGTTTTGTGGTTTATTTTGGGATTTAGAGTTCAGATGCTCTTATTCAATGATGACTTTGGCTGCCAGCCAGTACACTGGACTCATACATTTACATTCAGAGTACATCTGTGTGTGTTTTAGAAAGAGGACAAGGGGTAGGCGGCAGACCAGAGGCTTCTCTGGGAAAACACAAACTCCAAACAGTAGGAATCACTGGAGTGCAGACTTGTCGTGACCCAGAGCAGGACCCTGCATTCCACAGAAACCCTGAGCCTGAAGCCTGCTGTCTCTTCTTCACACTGAGAGGGCGAGAGAGGGAATGATGGAAAGCTGAGAAGAAAGGTGGGGAAATGATGAGCGGGATAAAAGACTCAGTGTGGATAAAGACAAGATTTTACAGATGTGACTCAGAGAGATATGAATGGGATGACTAAGACAGTATGACATTCGTGCTATTTGACTCAGGACCTTGACTGTGCATCTGCAGGATGTTCATGAGTTTGTAGGAGGTAGCAGCAGCTTCCTGCTTCATGACTCATTATTCTGCATCTGTCCAAAAAAAAAAAAAGAAGAGATCCTTTGTTAATTCATAAATGGGGATTTCTTTTTCAATTAATTAAGCTAAAAGTAATGTTTAAAATTCTTACCTTACCTTTTCTGTCAGCCAAAAGACCCCAGCAGATAGGACTGTCATCAATAAATCTGATGGTTATTTTCTCAATTAATTAATTAGTCATTTAAAAAAATCTAAATATCTACCACTTTGTTTTTTTTCTTTCCAATCAGCAGTCTAAAACACCCAAAATAATCAGTTAATGCGCTTATCAAACGAAGGAAAGCAGCAAATTTTCAAAATTATCAAAAATAGTTGCAGATTTATTTTTTGTCTTCCTCAAGCAATCAATTAATTGACTAAACACTTCAGCTCTAAAATGAAACTGAGAACAATTCTTTGCATTTGTGAAGCTGTAAGCGTCCAATGTTATGGTACTTCTTTTTGATATCTGAAAAATGATTCATTAGACTAATTAAAGTAATTTCCTGTCAGTAAACTACTTGTATAAATTGTGTAATCATAAACACTTCACCCTTGAGATACGCTGTTTGCTGTGAAAGGAAAATGTGGGACTTTATTATGTAATGAATTTCACAAAGCAAAACAGTATAAATCAAAGAGAGAGCTTTAATTTAAATACTGAACGATACAATACAGAATCTACTCCTAAGCAACTAATTTGTGTCCTTGAAGTCTTTAAACAAGTGAAAAAGTCTGCCAGTGTTGTAACAATTCTTCTAATTGTTTCTAATGCAAATCATAATTTTTTCCTCTTCAAAATAAAGTTAAGTTTTTCTTGATTTCAACGCAGTGATGTGCCTCTTCAATTGGAAACAGTTTGAAATGATTTCCCTGTACTTTCACTTGTTTAAAGAAAATAAGATTTTTTTAGAAAAAAATTTCAGACTTGATGTGATGGGGATTTTTTTCTGTGGTCCTCCTCATTTCACTTGAGTTACAATTGCCCCAAGCAGAGATAACAAGTTGCATTACTAAACCGAAGTCATTAACCTTTTTGGATTCCTCTTCCTTTTCTCTTCTCCCTAACACCAAAATCTTCCCATGCTGAGACACTGAAGA